GGACCTTCCGCCGCCTCTGTCAGGGGTGGCATTTCGGGGGCGGGACCTTCCGCTGCCTAGGGCGGCAAAAAAGCTGGCGGCGCTCCTGCCTGGGAGCTGCAGGGAAAAGCTGCTGGGGGGGAGGGAGAGGGGCAAATCTTTAAATTGTGCCCCCCACTCTCAGCAGGCACCAATTGTCTCTGCAAAGCCCCTAGCTCCACCACAGGGCAGAAGCCCCAAGTTGTCAGCCCCCAGTCTGGTAGGCGGAGAATGGGAGGGGTTTGGGGGGCTCTGGGAGCCGCACTTTAAATGTGAAAGAGCCACATGTGACTTACGAGCTGCAGTTTGGCTACCCCTGCTTTAAGATGATAAGTTCTTAGATTTATGTTCTCTCTTTAAATATATTGTCTATTTGCATAGTATACTGGCACTTAAAGTTATTAAAAAATCTTATCTCCATGCTACAGTGGGAAACAGAGCTTGCAACACCGAGGCTGAAAATCATAGCATCTGCTCTCCAACTGCAATAAACATTCTGTGTCTGTTTGAAAAAACAAAACTTGGGGAAAACTTCCCCCAGTTTTATCTGTGAGTGGTTCAAGCAGCAGCCCCAACTTTCACTGTCAGAGCCAAAGGCAAGAAGTTTCTCTCCCATCTGGATCTCCCTTGTTTTAGTGGACTGGAAAAAGCACTCATGGAATATATTTTCCAGCCACAAGTGGAATATGGCTTAAGGAGGAGTGAAGGCTGCTAGTAGGGGTAAAATCTTAAACGATATCTGTCTGTAATACACATACAAAACTCTCATTCATCAGATCTACACTGGCAGCTTTCACTCCTCCTTGTGCATTGTGCCATTCATGGCTGGAAAATACAACCCCAAAATTAACACAATGTGATTCTTGTTGCAGACTGTCATCTCTGGATAGAATAAAAAACCTAAACACTGGAAGTGTCTGAAATGTACACATTAAAATCCAGCCACTATTGCACCGGTCCTGTTGCTGTTGCACTGATGTAGAGAGGTCAGACTTTAAAAAGCTCACAAAAAATCCACACAGCATTAGTTGTTTTTAATAAATGCAATTGCAAGAAAATGTAGCTGTACTTTTCTTCCTTTCCAAAGAGCAAAATGTGAAGCCCTGATTCTGATCTCCCCAACGTTACACCAGTGCAGCTCTGGTAACTTTGGAGTTACTCCTTATTCACACCAAAGAAAGAACAGAATCAGACCATTGCTGTGATCACAAATAAAAATATTTAAATTTTAATAATTGTGGTACAATAGCTCTGCTTGGGATTTAATATTGTCACAATAATGCATAAAGCAAACACATGAAAGCGTGCAGCTATGGTGGTATAGCATTTTCTCACACAAGATGCTAAATGTCCCCAAATCACTTAAAAATACAAAGGAACCAGTCCAGTTTTACAGATAGGTGGAAACAATGTGACACTCAGCACTTCTATACTTTAGCTTTGACAATGTGATTCCTATCTAAATACATTAGTTTTTTCAAATCTATATAGACTTTTTTAAACCAATATTCAAATAAAATGTCATGCTAACACTATGTATCATTGTAATTTGTACATATTGTGAATGAAAACCCAAACAAAAAATCAGGCCACAGACAGCTGGCTTTATTCACCCCTCTCCCCACTCACCCCCACCAATACCCAACACATCAATGTCAATGGAATGTCCTTTCTTTTTCGTTCTTAGAAAACAAAAAAGGCAGGTTGGGGTCATGTACAATATAGTCACGTACAGTACTGTTTGAACTAGTTGCCTGTGGCATTCCAAATACTGATCTATGGTGCCCTCCTGTGGTGCCTGAGAAAATAACATCAATGTTTAAGGAGTTTTTCACCTGGAGTGGCACTAGTTTAATCAGAGGGTACGTCTTCACTACCCACCGTATTGGCGGGTAGCAATCGATTTATCCGGGATCGATATATCACGTCTCGTTAAGACGCGATATATCGATCCCCGAACGCACTCACCGTCGACGCCGGAACTCCATCAGAGCGAGCGGCGGTAGCGCAGTCGACGGGGGGAGCCGCGGCCAGGGCCGGCTCCCAGGCACCAGCTTGTCAAGCAGGTGCTTGGAGCAGCCGCTCTGGAGAGGGGCGGCACGTCCAGGTATTCGGCGGCAATTTGGCAGACGGTCCTTCACTCCGCCTGGGAGCGAAGGACCTCCTGCCGAATTGCCGCCGCAGATCGTGATCGTGGCTTTTTTGTTTGTTTGTTTGTTTGTTTGTTTTGGCTGCTTGGGGCGGCCAAAACCCTGGAGTCGGCCCTGGCCACGGCCATCAATCCTGCGCCGTCTGGACCCCAGGTAATTCAATCCAAGATACTTCAACTTCAGCTACGCTATTCGCGTAGCTGAAGTTGCGTATCTTGGATCGATCCCCCCTCCCTAGTGTAGACCAGCCCAGAGAAAGGAGATGGGCAGTAGTGATTGACAGGCAGGGGGTGGGGTCCAGAGGCATGGCTGGAGAAGTCAGAGCAAGCCAGAAACCTGTTTGCTGGTGACAAGGGCAAAGAAGAAAGAAAAATGAGTGGTTGGAAGTCACAGCAGCTCTGAAGGGCTTGAAAAAAGACTGAGCTGTTTCCTGAGGAATGTCGTACCAAAATGGGGCAGTCACTCTTAGATGACAAAGGTGGGACTCCGGAGCTAAACCATAATAAGCCTCTGCTGCTTAAATAAAAAGACAAAGAGCCAAATTTGTAAAGGCATTTAGGTACCTAAAGATGCCGCTAGTGGGATTTTTCAATCTGTAGGCACCTGATTATCATTAAAAATCTGTCCCTAAATCCATTAGTGGGAAATAGTAAGAAACTCAAACCTGTGGGGAACCAACCAGTAGAGAGCACTCATAAGCCACACTCTTCTATAGTGGGTTACAGTAATACCCAAGAAACATTGTGTAAGA